CATTGGGAACCCATTGGGAACCCATTGGGAACCCATTGGGAACCCATGATGATCCCATGGACTCACTCGCTGGGGAACGGTGCCCGGTGCAACCGCCAGAACCGCCAGACCGGTCGCCAGACCGAGCATGGACCAAGCTGCCAGTGAGCTACGACGCCGTGCTTCTTCAGCCTGGCGGGTGGATGGGTAGGTCAGTGGGATACAAATGGGTAGGTCAGTGTAGACTCAGTGTAAATGGATGGGTATCAAGTGGTATCAAATGGGTAGATGGGTGGATGGGTAGATGGATGTAGATGGTAACAAGAAGCATCACAGCTAACGGCTAATGGATGTGATGTCACTCTCTCGAAGATTGTAACACCCTGATGTAGGAAGTTCTCATCTTGAAAATCCTCTTGGTCGTGAGTAGTTATGCTCATAAAATCTCATAAGCAAGTGCTCAAACAGGCTATGTCTTGAATCCAAACGAAGATACAATATCTTCCCAGCTCGTCGGGATGCGTCCTTCAGCTCCTCTGCTGTCAGCGGGTTGGGCGCCACTAAGCCTTCCATATCCTCGCGGACGGACAGGCTGCGCAGCGGGGGCACATGCTCAGCGAAGCCAGCAACCGTCAAGCGTGGGCACATCGTTCATGTAGAGAGTTGAACGACTCGAAGCAACGATGCTTGGTGGGTCGAAAACTGAAAGAACACAAAGAGGTGGTTCTTGGTGGTTCAAAACGTAGTTGCTCTGGTCTCTTGTGTTCATTGTGCCCAATCCAACCAGGGTCAAATAGCTCATGTAGTCCTGGGCTCTTTGGCTTTTGGCAATTCCCAATGGCCAAGGGCGGGGTGGGGGAATGGAACAACTCCAATCCTGGTTGCACATGACTGGGTGGAAAAAAACAACTGACTGTTTGAGGGCTTCACACATATGATATATTATAAACATATATAACCATCTATTCAAATATGTATATATATATATATGTACAGTATATATGCAGTATATAGACATGCTGTATATGCATCCCATCTCTCCAAAAGAACTTGCGAGGAACCTCCTGGACGTGTCGGTCCTCGCCATCAGCAGCCATGGAATCCATCACTGATTTCAGCCTCGGATGGGCAAAGCATGCATGGCTGTTCTTCTTTTTCTGAAGAGCAGAACGTGTGTCTGTGCGTCAGTGAGGACCAGTCTGAAGCTGACTTCGGTTCCGAATAGATCCACTTTCACGAGTCTTTCGTATGCAACTTGGGAAAACACATTGCAAGTGATGCCATGTCATGTCCTGGTCAGTTTAGAACTGGAACACCAGCCGGAGCTTTCACACGAGCTGAGTCTGTACACTCTGCTCCCACACTCTTCACGTCTGCCACGCTGCCGCGAACCCTCCTGGACACCTTTGCCGTTTCAGAGAACCAGGCCAACTGGCATAATAAGATACACCCCTTACATCCTTAGATGTCATTTGATAGTATCTACATAAGGCTCACCTAGCTTAGGTCCTGGACTGTGCACCTAGGGGCCTACCTTAGGTCAAGCAACCGATCATGGGACTTCTGTGTGGGAGTTAGGGGCACGGACGAAAACCCTCGGCGTCCGCCCGCAAAAACCCACCGTTGGGCGCCCCGCAGCGGATTTCCATCGTCGGACTTGGGGCTGGACATGGAGCCTGGGAAGACGAGACGAAGCAAATCACCCCGGTGGACAGTAGATGGAAGAGAGCCGTCCTTGCTGTTGATGGCAAGCTTTCTTGAGTTGAATGTCCTTCTTTTGGAGCCGTGTTTTTGTTGGAGTTCCGGAAGCTGATACTCAGGGAGCCGCCAGAGTTTTCTTAGAGATTATGAGAAAGGTGCCTAGGTCTTTACCACAAGGGGCTTCCCTTTCAGAATTGGGTCCTGATGCACTGGGTCACCACCTGGTCACTCACAACAGCCTGCAGTATGTACAAGAAGTGACAAAGAACATGTTGTTGTTGCTGACCCTTTATGAAACGGCACACGCAACCATGTTCTTTTTCACTGAGATGTTGTGAACATCCTTCAAAGACTGTGGAAGTTCTTGGATCTATGAGTTACACACACATCATCTAGAATCCAACATCGATCTGTCTATCTGTCCATCTGTATGTCGCTGTATGTCTATCATTGTCTATCGATATATTTATCTATCAATTGTGCCATCGACAACAAAGTCTGAAACCTTGCGGCAAACCTGGGTGCAACTCAAAAGCAAACAAACATGGCATCATGGCTTCGCATCCTGAAGTACAAATAATGGGAACCGCTCACAAATATCACCAGTTCACTTTTGTTTGACGGATTCCCTACTTGATGCACTTGAGGCGCTATTTTGGAGCTTCACACAAAGTTTCCATGATGGACATCCAAACCAACTGAGCCATCCTCATGTTTCCATGTCTGACAAACAGCAAACAATCTCTTTCAACAGCCCCAAACCCTTTCAACTCACCCAGCTCGTGATCCCGTCGAACCATTCTCTCTCCGCTCTCTCCTGCCTCCGGTATCCGGCAGCCCATGGATGGCTGAAGGCCTTATCCCGAGGGTCAGCGTCAGGTTGCTGGAGCAGCGTCGGTTGATGCGAAGCCGAACGGTGCGACTGCCCATGTCTCAGAATGGGCCCGGATGCGGTGTGACCATGGTCCAAAGGATGAACTCAACGAACTAAGCTTGTCTAAACGAGCTTCAATAGCATACATGCTATGCTGCTATATCATGGTATGATATTATAGTATAGTTGTTGCCTCCAAAATAGCACGTGTAGAACCGCTTCTCCCTGGTGATGTACCAGTCAGCTGGTCACTCCAAAGCCCCACTGGCCGCTCCAAGTGGCGCCAACTCGCCGTAGCCAGCTGTGCCACCAGGTGGGGGTGGGGGTGGCGCATCGCTGCTGATGGTGCTAAGGGAACGACCTCGGGAGGGGTGGAAGGCCGGCATCCAGCAGAGAAGGCCGGTCTATATGGTTGGGTGTCTACTTCTGATCGAAATGGACATGAGTCTCAAACGAACCTCATTATAAGAAAAGTCTTTCAATCGTTTAAGAATGATAACATTCACTTGCAACACATATCCTATTCATTAGGCTCCATTGAAGGAGTCTTTCCTCATCTTTCCTCTGACCGAAATTGGGTCAGTTGGTCGCCAGGCTGAGCTCTCAGTGTCCCCGCTTGGCCCGGGCGGCCGTGGGGCTGGGCTCATGCCGGCGCCCGCTGCGCCGAGGCCCTGGCGATTGAAACTGTGTCGAAGTCTTGTTTATTCGTGAATGAATATGAACATTTTAAGTTGAAGATCTGCAGTTTCAGCATATAATATTCAACAGACTTAAACCAATCTACAAAAAGTAAAAAGACGGATTAACATACAAGTAGGATTGACTTGAGGATTGACTATAATCTTGATCTGGTTCTTTTTCCTCCCGCGAAGATGGACCACGATTATTCTTGGCTTGAGAGGGTTTTGAGAAGACAGCGAAGCTATCTTCTAAACACCCGATACTTTTTCAAGAAGCTCCGCAGAAAAAAACACGGCTGTTTCGCCTGATTTGCCTGCACCATTCCAGTCAGGCCGCCTGTTCCTGTGGGGGCAGGGACGACTGACAACTGCACTGACTTGCAAAGCCAAGGTCGCAACATGTCGCAAAGACATGCGTTAAGAGAAGATGGCTACTACTACCAGCAGTTCCATCCAGTGAGTGGATGTGTGCATCATGGACGCCCTAGGGCCCCTCCAATGGGCGACATGGAACCCCTGTTTTACACTTCTTCTCGTTGTCGTGGAGGAGGGTCGGTGTCTTTCGTTTTGACATTCTACTAGCAGCGAGTTTCAGACGGACTTACGCAGTACTTTCCACATTTCTTTCAGCCACACTACACTACAGTTCGTCTCGTCGGTGGGAAAACACCACACACACATAGTAAGAGCAAGAACACCCTCAGTGGCCGACGTTGCTTCTGCAGGGTTTTCTGCCGCTGCCTTGGTCATCAATGGCAAGGAGCTGCGAAGCTGCAATCAAGAAATGATCAAATTGTTGAAGTTCATGGTCTCAAGTGATTGAGACGATAATCCAGTAGTGTTGAAGATGTGATGGGGTTGAACGTATACAGTAGATATCCTCTATCCAAGTCGTGTCAAGTGCGGCCCATTCATTTCATTTGTACTGCTGCTATAGAAGCCTTTCAAACAGAAAAGCACGAGACGGTGGCGATGGCCATCAATCAGCAATCCTCCCCGTGCAGCTGGGACACTGATTGCTTTGGTCAAGAGTTGTTCAACATCTTGTTCAGTGGATTCTGAACTTCAATGATTTCATAGGGCCCAACAAACCAGTCTACTCTCCTTACTAGGTCCCTACCGGCCCGACCACCACGGTTTGCTGCCTTCTGTCAAAAACCAACCGCCCTCCCCCCGGCGCTCTATTTAGGCGATCGCTGAAGGAACTTCTGCCGCAGCATGGCCGCCGAGGTGGGCGTACTCAGATCCTGGCGCCGCCACACTTGTCTCGCGCTTGTCTCGCGCCGGTCGCGTGGGGCTGCTGGTGAACTGGGATGCGGCAAGAAGCAAAAATGAGAGCACAAAATGACAGCGACTGATGGAAAGAAGTCCATGTGGTAGTATGTGGACCATTAAGAAAGCTATTGCAGCACTGAGTTTCTAAGTTATATATATAAATGCTACCCCCCCCCCAAAACCCACCTTGCACCACTTGAGTGGGAAGTTTTGAGTACAGTCTTGTGTTGTACCATAGGGTTAACATGTTGAAACCTTGATGTAGAGATGACAGCTTTGCAGATAATAAGCAGAATGTTATATAAGCAGAACCTTGCACCACTTGAGTGGGAAGATTTGAGGAAAGTCTTGTGTTGTACCATATGGTTAAAATGCTGAAACCTTGATGTAGAGATGACAGATTTGCAGATAAGCAGAACCTTGCACCACTTGAGTGGGAATTTTTTGAGGAAAGTCTTGTGTTGTACCATATGGTTAACATGTTGAAACCTTGATGTAGAGATGACAGCTTTGCAGATAAGCAGAATGTTGCGCCAGAAGGTTTAAGGTTTTTGTGGCCTTGAAGCTTGACTTAGAGATGCCAGCTTTTGACTTTTTTGTTGCAAACAGACATGCACCGATTTTCCCCAGAGGCATAGGTCGCTGGCTCAATTGGCCTTGATGAGCTTTGCCATCTCCCACGAACACAGCGAGCCTGTGGCATGCCACAGGTCCCGGTTGCGATACCAGTACTCATACTGCGCAGACCGGAGCTTTGCTCGGAGGGCAGCACTTCCGACACGCGATGCCTGATTAATTTGCAGACGCTCCTTCAGGAATCGCCACGCACGATCGATGACTTGAGTGCCAGCCTTGCAGCGCACAAGAGCTTTCTGCCCCGGGACTTTGTGGTGGACAAGGCGAACATAGTTTGGCATTTGCCATTTCCATTTCCCATTAGTCTTGACTTTCTTCTTGCAATGGACGACCTTGTCGTGAATGACGTTCCGGATCTGGCACTTGTAGGACTTTGCAGCGTCTGTGTGTAGGATCACATGCTTGTCCTTGAGCCATTTGTTGGCCAAAGGTGTCCACTCGACTTTTCGGATGGCGCCTGGCCCGGGAGCGCGTACCTCTGACATCTTGGGATGCAGCCGATGTAGCACGAGTGTGTCAGGATGACCTCGCTTCACTAAGCCACACCATTGCTCCCAAGCAATGGGCGTAGCTTTGTTGTCAGCGAAAGCTCCCATGTTCTGACGGTCAAAGGTAGTCATCGGCCTCCACATCGCTCCACTTGACACCAGAGGCAAAGTTGATCTGCTTTTCATTCATCTCCACATACTTCTTGCGCAGCTCATGTAGAAGCATTGACATGTCTTCAATGGCTTTGTGGATGAATGGCTGCCTTTGGAATGTTGTTGAGCTTTAAGAAAAGAAGAGCCACTTGCGTTTGCAAGGACGTACACCCAGTGCCACGACCGTCAGTGAAGAGAGGATGTAGATGGTGAGGATTGATGTGCACATGACACTTCTTAGCGCTGCATCAGTGCTGTGGCTTGTCACCATCTTGAAGCTTTGACATGGTACCCTGCGGCAAGTTTGGCCATCCCACGATGATAGAAGCCCATCCTGTAGAAGCATCTTGACCAGGTTCTTCCCTGAAGCATGGAGAATATCCGTCAAGGACCTTTTCCACATTTTGCGATCCAACTTGATGTCCGCGGCCACCAGCTTTGAAGGATGCCGGGTGTAGGGGGTATCTTTCCACGCTTTTGTCTTCTTGGCGGCCGGCCGCTTCAGCACACATCTACCTTTGCCACGCTTGGGAGCTGGAAAAGGATTGAAGTTGCCCTTCTTAGACACCTTGGCCACCATGGTTTGAAGGACGCTGCGGCAACTGATCGATTTCTGTACTGAAATGGCTGCAACCTTTCAGACTTCAAAAAATAAAGAAGGGAGATGCGCATTCCACGTTTCATTCTGGAACATGTGGCATGGCCAAAAGCATGGTCTCGACACAGACTGCTGCAATGACAAGACTTCTGCAAAGCAAGGGTCGACAAGGATTGCACTTTTTCATACCGCCAATTCGATTTAAATGTGCTTACCTGACTTTTGCAGGACTGCATTCATCTCGGCCATGGCCTTCCAGAAGATAGGCCGGACCTGTAGGAATGGAGGACCCGGCAGGCACTTGAAGCAATTCGAAGAACGTCAAGTTCATGCCGTTAGCACAGGCATTCGTCCAAGTTGCCAATGGAACATGGAGAACAAAGTCGCCCGCTGTGGAGTCGAAGATGAGCACGTAGTGTCCGGCCTGTCGAAGTGCCCACCAATGTCCGATTCCTTTGTCGCCAATGTCATGGCATACTACGGCACAGCCACCCTCAACCTCATCTTTCACACTGGCTTCGCTCACCTTCGCACTGACGTCTGTGTGCTTCTTCTCAATCTTCTTCTCTTTCTGCTTGACGCTTGCGAGCTTCGGAGCCTCTGCGCAAATGCAACGATCTTTCCCCCACTTTTGGCATCCATTGCATTGCCTACGCGGCATTCATTCCTCCTTAATGTGGTTCGATTGCGGAGCTGGCTGCGGTAACATTTCCATAGTTGAGTTTCACTTCAACAAATCGTGACTTACAGTCATAATTATTTTTTATATTTATTGTCATACAGTCTTTGTTTCTTTTCACTTAATTCAAATTAATTCTTTCCTGCGGATCGCGCGGGGGGGGCCCGGGTGGGCCCCGGGGGGGGTCGACCAAAAAAAATAAAAATAAATATTTGTTTTGACAAAATACAGTTGTTTTTTTTGCTCGACCCCCCTAAACCTACTTGTTGGTATCGTAGGTATATATATATATACATTGTTCAAAAATATAAACCTCATTGTTCAAACATATATCATAAACAATTTTTTCCGGAAGAAAAAGGGAACGAGGTCTATTCATACAATTCATATTTCATCCATTGTTACAGCTTATTTGCTTATATTGTTTAAATGCAAAACGAAAAAACACATTAGAACAATTCCAACCGCAAAAATCATCTAAAACTTGTACTCAAAAAATCAACGTCAAAATAAGCAGAATTCACTGCAAATACCGCTAAAAACAATAAAAAGGTGGTTTTTTTTTTGGGGTACCATATAAATATATAGTTATAATATATATATATATACATACGACTACTTAAAACACACAGAAGGACACTTTTTGCAGGGTCACCATGTAACGATGCATGATGAATAAGGTCTAACATGGACATTGCACAACTTCCACCTCCGAGTCTGTGCAAAGCCGCTGTGTAAGAGAAAAGGATGAACATTCCTGAATCGTCTACGGAAGGGGGATACTGTATCATATGTCTACCTTTGTTTCCCACAGCTTTGACTTGAATCAAAGTGTCCCTAAATATTGAGAGACATTTAAAAAAACAGGTCTGCCATCCGCGCACGGATAGCGTCAGGTATGGTTTCAGGATGCTTCAGGTCATGATCGAACTTTCTGAGCTGAGTATACAGCAAGGACAAATAGCAAAATAGACAGACAACTCTGGGTTTCTGAACATCCCACATCATCCCACATCCCCAAAACGCCTCTCCCAAACCGGCCTCAGTTTCCTCCTCTCCCAAACCTGCCCCAATCCGAGAGGTCCAAATCCGAGAGGTCCGGCGCGGCTGATTGAAGAAGAATGCGATGCGCGCCCCATGTTCTGACAAGATGCTTAAGATGTTCTTGAACAATATTTTACTTATTGTTTCTACTAGCTTCTTGTTACTACTAGTAAGGCTCTTGTTACTACTAGTAAGGCACTTGTTTCTAATAGCTTATTGTTACTACCATATGAAAACCATGAGAATGCGTGGACCCTTGAGTCAATACTTGCTCACACGCTGACATATGGAAGGGTTCATTCGTGCAGTGTTTAGGGTTTGACATGCATTGAAATTGTAATGCGGTTGTTATGGTCAATCCTAGAAATGCAAGATCCCTTCCTGGAACAATAAATCAAAGTCACTATCGGCCAGGGACAGTGGGGACCATGGGCGATGTCCACACATTAGTTCCATCGACCAAGATCCTTCTGATTTGTATCTGATAATGCTCCAATAACTTTCTCTCCAAAAGAACACATATGAACACATCAAACATGATAGGGTGTTTGGATGTGTTTTGTTTCCATGATGCTCAAATCTAAAGGTCCACACCGCCCAACTTGCTTTGTCGGACTGGCCAAAAGCAGAACTCCCAAAGAAGTGCAGTTCCTCCACATCCCACAAAAAAGGGCCCCGACATTTTGCCAACGTTCCGAATGCCCCAAACAAGTCGTGTACCGAACATCAGCCGCCACATCGGTCGCTCCAGCCACCCGCCTCTGGAGGACCCCGAAGCAGTGCCCTTGGTGAGTCCGACCCGATCGACACGCCGGCCATGCTGCCGCGTTTTCACCGGCAAGTGGGAACTGAACTGATAGATCCGACAAATGTAAGACCATGTGTCCTTTCCTTGTGTTTATCCCACTCTTCTGCCCTGATGAACCAGTTCAGAGCGCTCGCGAAACCGCCAGATGAACGAGTTCCTTCCACCTTCGAGGTGAAAAGCTTCTAGCATCCCGAAACAGGAACTCTTTGTGCCCAACCTGTGACTTCACAAATCTGTTGGGGGATCCTTGCAGTTCTGCGGCGAAATCCTTTCAGGACCTGCAATTGCAATTTGGTGTCTCATATACTGTAGACAGAGTTCAAACAAACACATAAGACATGTTATATAAACATAAGATGAAAAGGGTCCAAACATGTCCAAACATCAATCATGTCTCCAAAATTTGCCAAAGAAGTATTCTCTCTCTTTTCCAACAAAGTCATTCACGCCTGATCTCACTCCAAAGTGCCCAAATGGTCACTAACAATCTCAGCCCCTCCCGGCGCGGCGGGCGCCCGCGCCCCACGCGCCCGTGGGCTTCCGCGCCGGACGGTGTGAAGGCGCCGCCGGGGGTCCTGGACGGTGAAGACCGGTGGTCTCAGACGACCGACCGACCGAGCGAAAGTGAAGCCTTGGACGGCTCGACTTGTTCAGGAAAGTGATCGTTGGACAGGCGAAACATGGCGAAACTCCGTTATATTAGACTCTAGAGACGTGGAGGACAGATTTGATATCACAAAAGCCGTGAGATAGCGTGATTTGATATCACAAGGTTTCTTCAGCATCATTTCCCAGGTGCAAAAGGTTGTGGCTACTCATCAGCCAGTTTCTGTAAAATAAGCTGGCTACTAGTTGCAGATTGCCTAAGGCTTAAGGAAACGAGATGATCCAATAACTGCTCGAGATGATCCTAAGCGCTTTAGTATCCAAGGGCGTTAGCTTGGTGCAGAATGATGGTTCCCCGAGTCAGGGTCAGGGTGACTATATATATATAAGACATCAAGAAGCCTTCAAGGGCGAACATTACAATCACTACTATCCATATTTATTTGCTGACACCCTACTGTATCAACACTCTTCGCACACATACTAAGGGCACTACTAGTAACAAGAAGCTAGTAGGTTGGAGGCGATCGCTGGTGCAGGCCATCGCTACCAGTAGCAAGAAGCTTCTAGTAACAAGTACGCTTTTGACATCTACACAAACATGCTTGGTCAAAGTCAATCCAACTTTTTAAGGCCACCATAAGAATGAATGTGTCGGCGAGAGAGAGAGAGAGAGAGAGAGAAAGAGAGAGAGAGAGAGAGAGAGAGAGAAAGAGAGAGAGAGAGAGTTTCATGGAGGGAAGAGAGAAAGTACATCTCACCATATGTAGAGTGTATGATATGGCCAATTATTAAGGAGCATTTCTACTAGGAGCAAGGACCCTACTAGGGGCTCCTGACCTTACTACTAGGAGCAAGAAGCTACTAGTAACAAAGGGCATCGCACTAGGAATAAGAAGCTCTTCCGTGAGAGCACCTAAACCAAACCCAAGAACATCTGGTGCTTTTCACTTTCCGCACACCGCCGAGATCCCTCCTGGTGGTGCAGGCAGTTGCTCGTGTGGAGGTGGTGTAGGACCTGAGATTGGGCGCAGAGGGCCAGGTCCGTGTCGGTGGTGCAGCCACTTCGATGAAAAAACAAGAAAACATCAACGTGGCAATCCCTTCAGGCGGTGGCACGTGGTGAAGCTCGATAACACTGATTAAATCTTGAGGACACATTGTATGAGCCAGAGTCTAAAGTATTGGTTTGGGCTGTATTTATAAGTAAATTAGGGAGTCCCCTATCGTTGTTCAGGTTTTTACACTTTGGGGTGGGTATCGTTTTGGGGTATCGTTTTTAGAGCGTCAGCGTCCCATATCGTTTTTGGGGGTGGGGCTATAAAAAACCAATACCGACGAAACGTTCCATATAAATTACCTTTGCGTCAAATTAGACTACAGCTGATGTATATATATATATATAATACTATGGTGTTTTTTCATATATAGCACATGATATCCCCTGATAGTGAATGATGATGGTTCGTTCGATTCTTGACCAAAAGAGCTTTGAAGCTTTGCTCCTGCATCTTGCTTTATGGGTCAACACGTGTTCTGTTTCCAATTCTACAAACTAAATAATATTATATATATATTGGTCGCTCTGGCTCTGTTGAAAGAGCTAGCTGTGCAAAGTCTGGCCCCACAACGCAAAGAACAAACTTACAGTAGAAGAACAGGTTATGGTCGCACTAGATCTAACACCTACTCCAACACCTCCTCCTCGTAATCTGTCAAGGAAGCGTGACGGCTTGACCGGTGAAGGCTTGCGATCCTAGACCCGAAAGTAAGCAAGCATGTCTTGAAGAAACTTTGTATATAATATATGTATATCCAAAGAAACAGTTTACATGAAGAAAAGGC